GCAGCTGCAGGTACAGCTCTCAATTCACCTGAGCAGGCTCCCTGTATACTGGGACTATTGACTTTCCAGAAGTTACAGAGGGCATCCCAGGAAACTGGGCATGGCTGTTCCCATCGTTGGGTCACCTTCATGTTTGGTGTTTGCTTCTTTGAGTTTGGTTGGGGGAAGAAACAGCAACAAAAATCGCCAGGAGATGTGCTCAGCTCTCCCCACTCTTTGCAGCTGAAATGGTTTCTGGAGTTTTCACCCCAGGAATCATGACTCCTGGAATGGATCAAGTGCTTATTACAGGCTTCATTCGGGTCAGGTGTGGAAAACGATTTCTAGGTTTTCAGGAAAATGGAAGCAATCATAGTATAACCAAGAACCAGAACAGTAAAACAAACCAACCAGAGTGCCACACCTGTGACATGTCAGCCCAAGCTTATCCACTCTTACTAGCAGCAACTTCCCGGAACTCAGAGAGGGGTTACTCATGTCTCTGCACTTACGAATTACACCTGACTGTGCTCAGGGGGACCATACGGGGTGCCTGCTATTGAACTCAGATCAGCCTCGTGTAAGACATGTGCCATACAAGCTCATCTATTGGCCTTGCTCCAGAAACCCATAAATAAATTTTGAAAGAGATCAAAAGCTGCAGTTAATCTTGGACTCCTGCAAGGCTGGACAGACCCAGGTAGATCGGAGGGGGTTGGGTTTCTCTGGTGCCTGCCCAAGCAGAGCCCCCAACAACCACTCGCTCCCACAATCCAAAATTGCCACCTTCCTGCACAGCTCTGAACTCTGCCTTCTTGGGATGGACCTCAGCCAAGATATTAAATCTGCTGAAAATTTGGGTTATTCGGGTTTTGTGACTGAAATCTCCAGGCTTTCTGGGGGTTGGGATGGACTACCTTTGGAAGCTCCAGCAGTCACATCCACGGCCCAAAGCTACCACCCACTTTTACCTGAGTGCCCAAGAACAGATGACTAGTTAAAGAAACTTTGGTACATCTACACAATGGAGTACTATGTAGCTGTTAGAAAAGATGAAGTCATGAAATTTACATACAAGTGGTACAACATGGAAAGTATCATGCTAAGCAAAATGAGTCAGAAAGAGAGAGACATAAAAAGATCGCATTTATCTAGGGGACTTAAAGTAACAAAATAGGAGATTAATACCCAAGAATAGCCGAGATCAGTACCAGGAGGATTACTCCATGGCTTAGAGGCCAGCCGTGCATTCTAAGGGAAAGGGCAGCTCAGATAGAGAAGGGAGCACCAAATAAAGGGTGTTTGGAGAATACTCCCAGAATGGGAGATGCATGTTGAAAGTAGACTATGGACTGAACATGATTGCCACTCAATGCCTCTTTTGCAGACCGCAACATCCAAAAGGAGAGAGAAAACAAAAGGGAATGCCCTGCCACGGAGGCTGGGTGGGATGGGGTGAGGGGGGTGGGAGGGATACTGGGATCCGTGGTGGTGGGAAATGGGCACTGGTGGAGGGATGGGTATTTGATCATTGTATAATTGAAACCCAAGCACAAAAATTTCTAAGTCTACAACTGTACCTCATGGTGTTTCACTAATTTAAAAAAAAAAAAAAGCTACTCCAGAAGTATCTTCCAATGCCATGAACAAACACAATGACTTCTTAGCGCCAGTATTGCAAACCATAATGCACAAAAAGGGGGGGGGAGGAAAAAGGAGGGAAGAAGAGGGGAAAGAAAAGTTGGTAGGAGGGAAACTGGGGACATTGGTGGCGGGAAATACACACTGGAGAGATAGGTGTTGGAACATTGTATGACTGAAACCCAATCATGAACAGCTTTCAAATGGTCTATCATGAAGATTCAATTTTTAAAAAAAAAAAATTTTAAGACAGAACTTAAGGTTTTACCAACCTCTCAGCCCTTCAAGATGTATTATCAGAATAGAAACCAGCTCTCTAAAGGTTTTCATTCCAGTGTGTGCTTACAAAATGTAACGTTCTTAACATTTCAGCATCTGTTTCTTAAAAATAATAAAGTTGTTTGTCACAGTTTCTTGGGAAATAACTTTTTGAAGCCAGATTTGACTTTTACGTACTTTGTTTTGGGGGCCATGCCTGGCATCCTCCGGCAACCTTGTGCTGGGGTGCTAGGGTTTGAACCAGAGACGGCCATGTTCAAGGAAATCACCTTCATGCCTGTAACTGCTCTGGCTTTGATGTGATGTTCTTACTTGACTCCCCTGCTTGCTATTAACCTGCTGTCTTGTACTCAAATAGTAACTAGATTTTAATTTCCCAACTGGATTTAAACAGTTAACCACGTACGCAGGTTAAGAAGGTGTCTGATTCAGAGCCAGAGACTACTGGGTGTGAAGCGCTTGCCTTGCATGCAGCCAGCTTCTTTCTGTCCCCAGCACTACATCTTGACCCCTTGGGGTCACTCAGTACTGCTAGTCTCGGCCCCAGAACTAAAATAAGTAAAATTCAAATCTGGTTTCAAAATGTCATTCCCTTCATTCCCTTTGTGCACCATTGGGTGTGACAGTCTTCCACCCACCCATACCTTCTCTCCCCGCCCCCCCTCCCAATGTCTGACTCATTTTCAAAAAGTGATTTGGAAGCTTTGTCTTGTTTGGTTTTTGTTCATTGAATTTCTGTGGTTTACAGTGCTGCTGCTAATAGCTTCCCCATGCACATAGTTCCATCACCACCCCTGTCACAGTGCAGCCAACTCGCTTCCCTGCCAACTCCGATGCCCTGCCCTTTCCCGGTCCCTTCCCAGCCCACTTATGTGGGTCAGTTTTTCCCTTCTGGCCCTTGTCCCTGTGTTAGTGCCCAGTTACTAGATAGAGGTCATTCTGTATCGTTTCTTTCCTCTGATTTCACTCAGCATGATAGCTCTAGTTCTGCCCATGTTGCTGCCATTTGCATGATTTGGTTCTTAGGACTGCATAGTTTTCTATTTTGTATTCCATTCCATATATGCCAACTTCTTGACCTATTTATCTGTGGTTGGACATTTGGATTGTTTTAATGTCTTGATTATTGCACTAGGGAGCACCCGTGCACTACATCTAGTGCTCTGGGATTACCCCTGATCGAACCTGGGTTGGCAAACAAGGAGTTGAAGGGGTTGGAATCTAGCACAGGAATTGACGTGCTTGCTTGTGCATGACCAATCCAGGTTCGATCCCTGCCACCATTAGAGCTTCCTGAGACCGCCCTGGGGCTGGGACCCGGTGGAAAACACTTGGATTGCATATGTAAGATAACAGATTTGATTCGTAGCACTGGAAAAAAAGAGAGACTTCATAGAAAAAGTATATGGCAACAACATCTTCGTTCTAAAAATCCTTAATGTCTGGAAATTAGAAGTGTGTTCAAGATGAAAATATTGATGATAGAGGCAAATAAAACTGCATGAATAGAATTTTAAGGACAACAGAAAAAATTGTGTGAAATTGTTTCTTAGTTCTTAGATTGTAAATTATTTGATATACCAGAACAATAGACTTTGCTTTAATGGATTTCACATTCTTGCGTCTTCATAAATGACCTAATGGGTCGAGATGCGCTGAGGTGTGTGATTTTGCTGCGCTAAAATACAGAGGGGAAAATGAGTATGCTTGCTGTTGTCCAACCTCCATTTTTAGGGCAGATTTATTTATCTTTACTCTTTGTTCTGTAGTGCTTACTCATAAAGTGATTTTGCTTCTTACTAAATAGGGTTCCTGTGAAGGCTGTACTTCCCAAGATAATACTGTCTGGTGATAAAAGTGAATAGACTTAAGATACTGACAATCCTTATTCAGGAAACAATTTTTGTTTGTTTGGCCGGGGGGGGGGGGGGGCAGGGGGCACACTGGGCAGTGCTCAGGGGTAACTCCTAGCTCTACTCAGAAATTCCTCCTGGCAATACTCTGAGAACCGTATGGGTTGAACCCGGAGTGGGAGAGTGGAGGACAAGTGCCCTACTCACTACTATCTCTTTGGTCCCTCGGGAAACATTTTTTTAATGTGAAAGGATGATATCTTTGGCATAAATGTTAAATATGTGGGAAATGGGCTGGAGCACTAGCACAGCAGGTAGGGGTATTTGCCTTGATTGCAGCCCACCCGGGTTCGATTCCTCCACCCCTCTCGGAGTGCCCGGCAAGCTACTGAGAGTATCTCGCCTGCACATCAAAGCCTGGCAAGCTCCCCGTGATGTATTCGATATGCCAAACACAGTAACAACAATCTCACAATGGAGACTTGACTGGTGCCCTCTCAAACAAATCGATGAACAATGGGAGTACAGTGCTACAGGGTGGTAATCGATGTGAATATTGAGAAAGATATTTCTCTCCTATAATACCAAGTTCTTACTGATTAATTTGGAAGGAAGTAAGCTGGTAAATAAGCTGCTGAAGTTTCTATTAAGCAGTCTCAAGAGGGCCAGAGAGATGGTACAGCGGGCAAGGGTGCTTGCCTTGGGTGTCTGGCCTGAATTTAGTTCCCATCACACCAAATGGTCTTCTGAGCCCACCAGGAGTGATTCCTGAGCACAGCCAGGTGTGGCCTAACAACTAATTTAAAAAAATGATAAGAATCCTGAGTTTCTGATAGTAAAAAAGCTTCGGATAAATAGGCCAAAAAACTTTAACAGTATCAAGCTGTGTTTTTTGTTTTTGAGATATTGGAACAACAGCTGATGAATTCCGTAGAAGGTTACTGACTATAAATGTATTATAATGACTAGAAAATTATGGCAAGTGAGACTTCAGAGCTGAGCTGTCTTGGTATTTTTATCCAGTGTGTGGGGTGTTATACATGCATCGCAGTTATAATAGATCTATCACATGGACCATCTGGGGAGCAAGAGCGAGATGTTTTTAAAGCTTCCGTGCTTGATTTCTTAGTCAGATGCTGCGGTATTTGTCATTCGACAACTTAAGTCAGAATTCAGATATTTAAAGGTGTAAATTATTCTAAATTACCAGATTTTAATAAAGAAGTAATTTAATTGAAATTGTTTCAGGAAATGGAAGATAAAGTGACTAGTCCAGAGAAAGCTGAAGAAGCAAAATTAAAAGCAAGATACCCTCATCTAGGACAAAAACCTGGAGGTTCAGATTTCTTAAGGAAACGACTACAAAAAGGGGTAAGCTCTTATGTGATTTTCAAGTTCTTTGTTAAATCCTATAAAGTCGGTGTACTGAGGCATTGTGGAATGAGTATCTGCATATGTAATACTTTGTGCCTTATCGGGTCCATATATTTTAGTGTTTTTTTCCAAAATTTAATTTTGTATATTCCACGGTTATACATTCTATAATTGATTATGTGACTCTTACTGTCTTAATTAGAAACTGTTTCTCAGTAGCATGTTACAGTACAGCGTATGTGCCTTCCACCCAGATTTTATGTTAATTTTTTTACATATAGTTAAACCTACCATATGCATAAATGTGACAATATTATATACATATCTTAGCTACCACAATGTTACCTTCTTTCCTCTGTCTTGGTTTGTTTTGTCGAATCGTGTTGGGAAGACCTTATCCTGTGTCAAGGATTGAACTGGGGTCAGCCGTGTGCCAGACAAGGGCACCCTGTACTATTTTTCCAGCCCTTTGTCCTCATTTTTAACATTTGTATTAAAGGTGATTTCATAAATGTACCAAAGCTAAAAATACTTTAAATTAAATCACTGGGAGAAAGCATAGGGTATTATCTCCTTGCATATTATATTTCACAACATGTAAGTTATCCTCATATTGTATCCAAAAAAATAACATTTTAATAGTGCAAATTACAGTTCTTTGAGGTAGAAACCATTACTTCTCATGAGGTGAATTGGAGTGTGCTATTAGTTCCTTAATTTTCCTTTCTAACCCTTCATTAAAAAAAAATTAAGGCATCTTTAAACTCACATGCAAGTCAAGAGTGAAAGACTATTTATGGAAAAATTGTTCATGGAATCTGATACAGAAGTATATCACTCCTTAAGTGAATACCTAAAATATGTCCATATCTGCTTTTCTTACAAAAACATGTTCCCATGCATGTGTGTGTCCATATGTGTAAATGTTAATTATGTTATATGGATAATTTTGCTTAAATAAGCCAATTTCTGAAAGAATGTGTTCCCAGTTTTATTGAAATACGGTGACATAGAATTTTGGTGTAAGATATACAGAGTAGTGTGATTTAATACCTGATACATTTTGAATGCTACCACAGTAAGGTTATCTTGCACAGTTTAGCATTTTATTTTCACAGTGAGAGCATTAAAGCTTGATTTTGTTTAATTGCTTTATTTTATTTATTTGGTGTGTGACTGGGGGGTGGGGGGGGGAGGCATACCTGGCAGTGCTCAGGTCATACTCCTGGCTTTGCATTCAGGGATGCAAAGGAAGGGCTTGAGGGACCATATGGGATACCCGGGGTCAAATCCAAATCATCTGCGTGCAAGGCAAATACCCCACCAGTTTATGCTATCTCTCCAGCCCTGTAAGCTTTATTTTTACAGCAGCTTTCTAGCAGTCTTTTATTGTTAACTGCTATACATTTGGACTATTAATGTCCTCTCATTTTCTACATTAAAAGTTCGTAGGGTTTGGGGGGGGGGGGGTTGTTTGGTTTTTGGCCACACACCCAGCAGAGCTCAAGACCTACTCTTGGTTCACACTCAGGGATCACTCCTGGTTTGCACTAAGGGAAACCATATGAGAGGGAGAGGATTGAACTTGGGTCTGCTGTGTGCAAGGCAAGCACCCTGCCTCTATAGTATTTCTCCAGATCTTTTTTTTTCCTTCTTTTTCTTTTTTTAAGACTGGAAGGTCTTAAGAGAAGGTCCCAGAGGTTTGAAAGATCTCAGACTTGAAACAATATACCCTGTACTTGGTGACTAATCAGAACTGGGAGGGATGCTGCCTAGTCTAATCATTGTGTTACATATTTGTGGAGTTACGAAGTATCAAGAACACTGAGAATCCAGGTTGAAGAAACACTGGCCTTCACAGTTACACATTGTTGGATAAGGGCTAAAGTATATTTGCATGCATGAAGGAGTCTGGGGTTTGAGCCCTATTCCTGCATTGTCCCGAGCACTGACAGTATGGCCCAAAACAAAAAAACAAAACATTGTCACTTAGGGGATCCCTTGATGTAATTATAAGTAGTAGTCTAAATGTGGCGCCCAGGTTAGGGTGGTATGAGGTTTTTTTAATAAGATTGTCGCCCAGATGATGTTTTTTTGATTTTTGAATACTTTTCTTAGAATACAAAATAATTAAAGATAATATTGCTTTCAGGCTATCTAGAGCTCTTAAGTACAACTGTCTAGTCTACCGTTTAGTGGACATTGCTAAATTTGCTGAATGTTGAATTTCTCCTGTTAGGCTTTTGACTCAGTAAAAAAAAAAAAGTTTTTCCTGTTTACTATTGGTTTTTTGGGGCCACACCCAGGTGTGCTCAGGGCTTACTTCTGGCTCTGCACTCAGGGATCACTGGTGTGGGATGCAGGTGTGGGATGCATATGTGTTGCTGAGGATCATGCCCTGATTGGCTGAGTGTAAGTCAAGGGTTGCCCAGTGTATTGTAGCTCTGACCCAACTCAGTAAAAAATCTGGCAAGCTGCTTTGTTATTCTGCTTAAAGACCTGTTGTGTTGTGCATTAGAGGAGTTCTGACATTCAAAAATGAAAAAAGTTGTTATCAAGTTGGGGCGGGGTGTTTCTTTTGTTTTTTGCTTTTTGGATCACACCCAGTGACCTGTAGCACGAGCCTCCAGCACCATGAACTCTGTCTAAGACAGGAAGGATGAAGCCATTTATTCCTGGCTCTGCTCAGGAATTATTCCAGGAGATCATATGGGATGCTGGGAACCGAACCCGGGTCGGCCGTGTGCAAGGCAAATGCCCTACCCGTTGTGCTGTCGCTCCAGCCTGTTTTCATATTTCTTAATGTTTTAAATGTCCTCCATTTATTTTAAAACATAGGAATACAGGCCAAGGTGCTCAGGTAGGGTGTGTGGTAAGCATATATGAGGCCCACCTGCAGCCACTGCCCCCTTCCCAACTGTGGCACGAGCCTCCAGCACCATGAGCTCTGTCTATGACTGGGAGGATGAAGCTGCAGCAAGCCATAAAAGGGCATGATGCGGGTTTGTTACTATTGATAAATGTGTTACATGAAGTAACATCAAAGGCAGTTTCTAATTTAGAGCCTTTGATGTAGCAAAGAATTGTCCCTGAGGTGAACATGTGACCTTTTTAAAGAGAACTCAGCAATTGTTGAGAGTTCCCAGCTATTTCATTTACCACATAAGTATACCCGAAGTCTCAGAATATTTTTCCCTTTTGTTCAGACCATCGTTTTAATAAAACAATGGGTTATTCCCTTTTGCCTACTCTAAACTGAAGAAAGCTAGGGTCCCCTCCTTTGAGTACTGACAGTCCTTCTTGTACTTGAAAGTACAATGCTGATTTGACTGCTCCCCATCTTTGTTACATCTCTTGTTCATACAGTGCCTCATGTATTGAAGACCCGTAGTGAAAAAAGACAAAATCTGATAGGTGAAAATTAGAATTTATGTAAATTCATGTTTTTATGCTGACACAGAGAACTATACAGATTAGCTGTATTAAGGTTGTTCTTTAGCGCTCATCAGTTTTTGGGGAATGGTTGTTCACGTATTCATCCCTCGTTTGAGCAATGTTAGTTGTACTTCCTGGTGAAGAGACAGGTTTGGAACATTATATGAATGAAATCCAATCATGAACAACTTTGTAAATATGTGTATCACTGTGATTCCATTTTAAAAATGATTAAAAAGAAATGAGATTATTGAAAAAATACTGCTTGTATTTATTCACTGCCTTTTTGTTTTCGCTTTGGGGCTACCCACATTGCTCGGGGGCTACTCCTTCTGTTTGAGCCATATCTCCAGCTCTTACCATCGTAAGTGAAAGTGTAGGTATAGAATAGGCCGTGTGCATTTTAAATAATTTCTAGTGAGACTATTGCCTTTATTACTCCAACATTTATATTTTAACTTCAATTTTTATTTTAGTGAATTCCTGGCTTAAATGACTTTAAAATGTTTGTAGAGGAGCAGGAACAATAATACAGTAGGTAGCCAATCCGGGTTCGATCCTGAGCATAACCTGTTTGTCACATACACACAAGCAAACACTAATGTTCATCTTAGATGATACTGTCAGCTTTAAATAGTGGTTTTAATATTGGTAAGGTAGGTTGAAGACCACTTAAGTGAATGATGTAATCTTGTTTCAAAATCATGTAAGAAGTTTTTTTCTTTCTAGTTGTCTTGTTAGTGTATGAAAAGTTTACATTTCATTTTTTAACTGTTTACTTTTTGCTTGCCAGTGTAGTTTAAGGAAAAAATTGGTGTCAACCTTGGGTTATTCTGGAATCAGAATAATCCTTTCAGGTCTAATGGAATTCTATCTGATTTCTTAGATGGTGACTTAGGCTGGTGTTCATCACAGAGAGGTAGTGATTACTTCTAGTTGATTTTTTTTTTTAATTCCTAGACTAAAATGTTTTATATACTGACAATGTGGGGTCCCATCTGTATCTTAAAACAGTGTAATTGCGTCTGAAAGTTTTAAACCGTATCATAAATTCTTTTCTTTTTTTCTTATAGCAAAAATATTTTGATTCTGGGGATTATAACATGGCTAAGGCAAAAATGAAGAACAAGCAACTTCCTGCTGCTGCAACCCCGGATAAGGCAGAGGTCACCGGTGACCACATCCCCACTCCACAGGACCTCCCTCAGCGGAAACCATCTCTTGTTGCTAGCAAGCTGGCTGGCTGATTAAAAGAGCTGAACTGCATGAACCTCATTCCTATTGTTTCTTTTTTGATGTTCCTTCTCTTTTTCCTTTTATTCACTAAGTCATTTGCGAGTGACAGTTTCATAGGTAGTGGTAGTATGTGTGCTGCTGTATAAGGGAATATACACGTGTCACGTTTTGATTAGTTTAACAGTGCACTGATGGAAAAGGGTATGTTAGCAACGTGAAGTAAGCTACTGGAAAGTAATTGTATATATTCCCTGACTCCTAGTCTAGGACTGGTTCCAACAAGTAACAAGCAAGTTTTACAGTTCTAATGTTTTGGCTTTCTTCTTTATCTTCATAATAACTTTATATGTTATTCCTACCTAATATAACCTGTACGACATTGATTTCTTACACAATTTCCTTTTGAATTTTTGTAAGGACAAGAAAGAAAAAGAACAAAAAGCAAGTTTAAGACCAAAAGTTGGAAGAAAGGTCACGTATTTCAAATCTAGATAGATGGGGCTCTAAAACATTTCTATCTCTGTGCTTGAACTTGAATGGCCTTAAACCTGTTTCAGCTTTAACAGTAGAACTTTACTTGGGCAATATTTGCCCTCTGGTGTAACTTAGTCACTCCAGTGCTTAACAGCTGCCGTCAAAGCTCGTGTTCTTCAGTTGTGTAGGGCTAGAACACCTTTCATTGACGATGTGAATGAAGTGTGCATGTGCATCGACTGTTGAACCCACTTTGTGCCATTCTTGTAAATACAGTGGTTTTGCACAACCTCTCACAAATACCTGTATTAATTTCCCATGAAAATATAGGTGATGTGCCAACCAGAAGCACAAGAGTTCCCACACTACACTGTATGTCATTAGAGCTTTTGTATGTTAAAGAGCAATTTATTTACAGTCTTGGGCCTGTAGAATAAACCAAACTCAAACCTGCTCAGTCTGCTATGGACATGCTTTCTCAGTTGTTCCTGATATCCATGATATTCAGTGGCCTTGTGCAAATAGGATATGTTGCTTAGGCATATCTTTTGTCTATGCAGAACATCTCATTTTGACTTTAATGAAAATTTCAGTTCATGTAATTTAATGTCTCACTTTTTAAATGTAAGATCTTTTACTTCCACAGTCAATTTTTGGGACACCAGAATAAAGAGCTTCAATATTCTGCCTCTTGTGATCCCCTCCGTCTTCCTTGCTTCTTTGCCTTGAATCTTGTGGGGCTGCACTGCTGGGTGTGCGGGAAGCTTAGATGAGATAGCCTTCCTCCAGTTGCCTCTGCTGAATGCTGTTACTTTGTAACACAGTAATGATGTTATAATTTCTCTGTTGTTACCCACTCAATCCTGTATTACTAATAATATTTAACAATTGTTTAAATAAAAGTAACTTTATAATGAAACATATTTAAGAAGACTGGCCCGGGAAACTCTGTAAGTAATTATGATGAGACAAAGTGAATTAGGTTTGTGACAAATAACCACATGATAGGTGAGATATATACATATTAAAATACTAAGATATTTTGCTTCTATATATGTCACTTTATCTTATTTGGGGGTGGGATTGGGTCACATCTGGCGATGCTCAAGGCTTACTCCTGGTTCGGTGCTCAGGGAACACTCCTGGCTGGGCTCCGGGGACCATCTGGGTTGCCCAGGATTGAGTCTGGGTCAGCTATGTGCAAGAAGTCTCCTGCCCACTGTTGGATCTTTGCAGCCCCAAGAGATGTCACTTAAATAAAAATCAATTTAATTTTACTCGTGGTCTAGTTGGTAATAATTTTAATATTAAAAAGACTTTACTGAAACATTTTCTTTTAGAAACCCCCCTGCCCTCCTATAAGTTGTAATGGTGTAGCTTGGTGTTAAGGAAAAGTTGCCTTAGGTAATAAGTTTATTTCTTGATTTTTTTTTGGGGGGGGGGGAGGTCATCCCCGGCATGAGCAGGGGCTACTCCTGGCCAATGCACCAGGAATTACGCCTGGTGGTGCTCGGGGGACCATAGGAGATGCTGGGAATCGAACCCGGGTTAGCCGCATGCAAGGCAAATGCCCTACCCGCTGTGCTATTGCTCCAGCCCTCTTTCTTGATCTTTGACTTCAATAGGGCCTCCTGCATCTAGGCATTCTTTTCTGGATCTTGGCCCCATCTGTATACCTGTTTTCCTATGATCCCAAATCATCGTAAATGGTGCCTTGCGCATAGCACATGCACGTAAAGACTACCCAGTGCTCTGAGGAAAGTGTGCCAATTATTTTCCTATTCCACCTCCCCAAAGGGAGCAAAGTCAGTCATGTGCTAACTTGCCATTTTAAGGATCACTTACACATTGAATATATATATAATGGGAGCAAGTAGGTTACTTTATAATATGTATATTTGTGAGATTGGTTTAAGAGTAAAGTAGGATTTTTGGTGATAACCTGTTTTTTTTTAATAATATTTTCAATTTATTACCATTAAGTTGGTACATCAGAGAGGATTGGTCAAAAAGATCAGAGAGATCTGCCGTGAATTGGAACAAGTGATGATAGAACCTCTGTCTGAATTATTAAATGCAAAAATAATATTTAATCTACCTCAAAACTTGTTGAGGGTTTGTGGAAATACTAAGTGCCCCAAATGATGATGTTTTCTTAAGTAAGTTTAACTTATTAGAAGTAAGTTTCCTCATTAAACCAGCCTGCCTTCTATAAAGTCACAGTGCTAAAATCTCAAATTTCCACTGAGAAAGACCTATTCGTGTAGGATTTCTGTAGGTGTGTGTTTAACTTCCATTACTGGTGCTTGGAATACAGAGGTTTTCCGGTATTTCTAAGTTTTGTTTTGCCTCGAAGTTCGGTATTTTTAAGACATTTGCAAACTTTAGGTAAGTTTTTCCGTTTATATGATCTCAATTGTAATTTGAGAAATAGCTCTCATTGTTCTATTATAAAGAATATTAAGCTGAAGTTGGAGAAAACAATCAGAATTGGCTAAAGTCTGAAATAAATGAACTGTCCATGGTCAGATTCTAGTCAGTTTTAGGGAAACGTTTGTTTTTAAAGGGTATAATCTTAACTATGTGATTGATCATTTTGTGTTAGGATGGCAGTCGGGACTATTAAAGAATTGGAAGGAACATGATTATAGTCTTTCTACACACGGCTCAGTCTTGCTCTGCTCACCTAAAAATAACGATTCATCAAGGCTGGCCAGTTCGGCCTCTACTGCAAAAACAGCCGCAATCGCTTTTTAGTTAATAAGCCAACTATACCTCTGGATAATTCATACTTAAATCATAATTTTATCAACCCAAATCAGTGAAGTTCTATCAAAGCTGAAATATAACTAATGGCATTCATTAAGTGGTATTAGGACTGATGAGTTGTCAGGTCTTATTATCCATGTTAATATGCTATGATGATCTTCTAAAAATACTGCCCTATTTGGGATATTTAATTTGGCCACTGCCTGTCGGCCCCATGTTCCTGTCCCCAGCAAAGAATAGTTCCTTTCACTGAATTTGGTTGAAGCCTCTTTCATCCTGGGATTGGTAAATCTAAGGATAAAATAACTAGTCTTGATATTCTTAGACTAGATTCACCATTTAGGAAGGTAGGCCAATGGATTTTATGCTGCAGTTTACAGATATACCATAACTGTTTGTTTTTAATTATGTTTTCAATTAAACAGCATTGTAGGAGACATTTTTTAAAATACGACTCCCATATCTGTTACTGCATCTGTCATTTGTGATGCAATATGATACTCCCTGTTTTGAAAGGCCAAGAGTTACTGCCTTTTTTGTTGAACATGTTTGTAGAGTGGCATTTGATGCTAAAACTTGTCAAATAGCCCTTCCGAATAATACTTGTGAAATATACAAAAAATAAATAGATCTTATGTCCTGTTGGTGTGATTTTGTAGTTTTGTCTTTTTTTTTAAGACATCTCAATTTACAAAGCTGTTCAAAATAAAATTGTTTCAGGCATACAATATTGCAGCACTGTTCCCACCATCAGGGTCCATGTCATCTTATCCTCAGCTTATCCCCTTGGCAGGCATATAGCAAATTTATTCCATATTGCTTTCTGCAACGAAAGGAGATGGCAAAAGGAATTATCAGAAGATTAAGCAAAAGTCCACTTGTAATAATTGTTACATGATTTTAACCTAAGTAAATAAGGAAATTCAAATCATTTGATACAACAATATAATGCCTATTTTCATATAACTAAGTTTATGTAAGTCTTATTCTTGTTACATTGTTTTTGAGCATATATTTTGAACTTGATTCCTTTATATTTCAGCTACTACTATATAAAGAAGGAATTTGTTGGGGATCTTAAAACTGATTTATTTTTACTTTTTGGGTCACACCCAAGCGATGCACAGGGGTTGCTCCTGGCCCTGCACTCAGGAATTACTCCTAGCGGTGCTCAGGGGACCATATGGGATGCTGGGAATCGAACCTTCCTGCTGTACTATCGTTCCAGGCCCCCCCCCCATTTTTTTTTCATTTTTTACTGAATCATCGTGAGGTACAGTTACAAACTTTCATGCTTACGTTTCAGTCATACAGTGATCGAGTACCCATCCCTCCACCAGTGCCCATTCTCCATCACCAATGTTCCCAGTATCCCTCCCCTCCCCCCTCCGTCGCCTCTGTGGCAGGCACGTTGCCTTTTATTCTCTCTCCCTTTGGGTGTTGTGGTTTGTAAAATTGATTTTTAAATCTAGCAATTGGGAGTCTTCGCCCACTACATATAAAATGTTGGTAAAATACTTTTGAAAATGTCACTGAAATCACCCACTCTTTGGAAAAACAAAAGTCTTCCTAATTCATTACTAATAACGGTATTCTGGTGTGGAGCACCGAACTAGCAGCTGCTCTTCGAAGCACACAGAAAAATCCTGTAGGGGCCTAAAGGAAGACGTTTAAGCACCTGTGGCAATTGGGAAAGCCTTCACTACTTCAGATCCCTTGTGCAAGACTCAGATTTTCCTGAGGGTTAGATTAGACAAGAACCTACATTTGCATATTGGAAAAGGTTCTCCAGGAACAAGAAGGAATTTTTAGAACATAGAATGTGGAAGAACTCTTGATCTGAGTTTCCCTCAAGATTTTTTTTCTCCAATCTTTCATCTTGGTAAAGGAGCCACTCTCATTTACCCAACCTGAAGTCACGGAGGACTAAACAACATCCAAGCTACACTGGAAATACTGATTAGTTTCCACTCCTTGAACTGTGCCTTAATATCATTTCCCCAGAGCCATTAATATTTATCACCTAGAATGCCACTTCCTACCCCTGTCCACACTCCATGATCCCACCTTGACATCCTCTTGTACTGAGGAAGGACGGGGCGGAGAGTTGGACTTGACCTTTTCAGTCCTTAACTGCATC